AAAAAATAAACAAAAGAAATCATAAGCAAATTCAAAAGATTAGCAATAGAGAAAAATATCAACAACATGTATAATAATCAAAGGCCAATATCCATAATACAGTCATCCCCTAAAACAACACTTCTGACACTAACGCTAAATGTGTGCGTTCTTTTTATATCAGCAGATGATTCTTTAATTCTCCAGATACCACCGAGTGTCCAGTGATTCAATTTAGTTCTGACACTTAACTGTCTAAAGTTAGTTCAAGACCCCATTTAGGGCTCAGTCCACAGACTGCCCCCACCTGAGACATTCTTTCCAAGTCGGGGCCTCAATGTACTTTTGACCAACTGCCTATGTAAGAAATTAGGAAGTCCCACAATCCCCTCCTCACATTTGAAATTTGCTAGAATGGCTCACAAAACTCAGGAAAACACTTTATTTCCATTTACCAGATTATCATAAAAAATATTACCAAGGATAGACATGAACAAGGATAGACATGAACAAGCATCTAGCTGACTCCTCACCTTTAAGAGTGGCCTATTATATGTCAAATATTTCAAGGCACTTAAATTTTGATATCATAATGGCACTTTCGGTTTCACTATAGCACATTTATAGCCTCTAAGCTTCTTGAAAAATAGCTGGCTATATCTTACCCACCACAATATATACTCAATACCTTTTAATGTACCTGGTACATACCAGTTATTCAATACGTATTTTGCTTAAAAAAAAAATAAAAGTGACTAAAGGAGCTCAAATAAGCTTCCTTAACATTTCACATTTCCATGGTGAAAAAAGTCACATTAACACAGGAGTTAAACATTTTTTGCAGTGTCTTGCTTTGGTTTTCTGCTTTAACAGTTTTTGGTCAGAATCTGGTATGTACAGTTTCAATGCCATCACCTCTCAGGTGCCTGCCACAAGAACTGCATCTTCATCCCACATGCACCAAATACAAAGGCTGCCATCAAGTGCCATATCAACCTAGAGCTCWGTCCACCTTACTGCTTTGACAGGGCAAAGATGTAGCTTTGAAGAACTTTGCCAAACATTTCCTTCACCAATCTGTAAGAGGTATGCTGAGAAAATGATGAAGTTGCCTAAACTCTTTGAGAAAATCACCTTCAGGAAGAAAGATTTTTATTGGCTGTCTTAACAGTTTCCCTCCATGATTAGCAGGCTCCACTACTATAAACCTGTGGTGAAGTCAAAACATCATGGCAAAAGAATATGGCGGAACGAAGTTGCTCACCTCATGGTGAGCAGGAAGGAGAAGAAATGGGGGTAAAGGCGTTTCCTCTCAATCCAGTCAACCTGACAACCTAGACTCACCATCATACTCCTGCAGAATATCAAGAAACCAAATCACAATGACTAGGAGAAGAGGCTGAACACAATGGAGTGCGTATTACACTTAGAAAAAAAATGCAYCAATTACTACTAGACCCTTGCAAACTTGTCACCGAAAAAAATGACGTGTGACTTCAATGAGATGCACTACCTGAATAAGGAGGTGAAATCTACCAAAGATGTGAGACAAACCTGCAGCATGTTGGGGTTGCCTTAAACTTTCTACATGTTGCACCAAAACATCYGCTTAAATTTACATTGTAATTGTACAATGCCTTCAGATAAAAACTTTGGTACTAAAAGGAGAACAGGTGTAAAAGAAAACAAAGATTTAACAATGAACATATTTTTATGTTTCTCTTTGATCAGGTATTTCTGAGCAAAGAAATTGTCCTTCAAAAAMCAAGCCTCGAGGGCTGGRGATGTGGCTCAGCGGTAGCRCGCTCGCCTGGCATGCGTGCGGCCCGGGTTCGATCCTCAGCACCACATACCAACAAAGATGTTGTGTCCGCTGAGAACTAATTAAAATTCTCTCTTTAAAAAAAAAAAAATGATTTTACATTAATCCTTTCAAAAAGAGTACTTTTTTTTTTGAGAAAATACTGGAAGTTAAGAACTAGAAGCTTTGGTTATATACCTCATATTACAGAAAGGCAATGAGTAGGCTGATTCTAAAGGACTCATTCAAGAATTATAACAAAAATTGTCAATACAGATTTGTCAGTTGTCTGTTAATAACCTGTATACCAAAGATTCCTAGAAGATTAGGGGGAGCAAATTTTTTTTTTTAATTGTAGATTTTTTTATGTGGTGCCGAGGATCGAACCCAGTGCCTCAGCGTGCAAGGCGGGCGCTCTACCACAGAGCTCCAGCCCAAGCCCAATGGGAAAGAATATTTATTGAACAGAGATGTTTCTGGGTTATATTTCATAAGAAAATTGTGGATTCTTTATAAAATGTTTCTTGAATTATTCCTCCTCCCCCAAACACACACTATCTTTGAGGAGAGGAAGATAACACTGCTGCCTAAAGGACAAGAGCAGAGAATACATGGCCTTTATTCTTTGGTCAGACTTTCAATAAACCAGTCTCAAGTGACAGACTATGGCATATGTTGGGTCACTATGAACTGACACCTCAATTCTTGGATGAGAGTCTCAAGTGAATATTTTCAATAGCACAGGTAGAAGATAAAACACATGTTAAATACCAGATGGATAGAAAAAAAGAGATGACATGTCTATTGTAAAATTTTAGGAGTCTGAACTACTCTTACCAGAGTAGTTGAAGGAATAGGCAGCCTCCAAGGAACTTCCAGATTAGATGAAACATTTTTCTCAAAAAAAAAAAAAAAAGGAACTTTAAAATAAAATTTAACTTATTTTGAGCTAAATTCTCATGAGTTCTGTGCCTAAAAAGGTTTACCAGCTGCTTTAATCATAAAAATTGCCTGGTATATTCAGAGCATCTAAAATAAAACTGTAGTCCAATATGAGTAAGCTATAAATTATACCCCTTGAAAGGGAAGGAACTTAGGTAAACAGGGTTATTTAGAAAAGTCTATTACACTCTGAAGAATGATTGCTACATCAGTTTTCTATGGCTGCTGTAACAAATTACCACAAATTTGGTGCTTTAAATCAATAGTACTTTATTCTCTTACAGGTCTAGAGATGAGAAATTCGAATTCAGTTTTCACTGGGCCAAGATCAAAGTGTTGGCAGTGTCTCCTTCCTCCAGAAGCTCTAAGGGAGAATCTAATCTGTTCCTTAGCTCYTTCAGCTTGGGGTAAGTGCATTTTTTGGCTTATGGCCACATCATTCCAGTGTTTGCTTCTGAAGTCATCCTGCCTCCTCTTTTTTGACTGTAATTTCCCTTTGCCTCCTTCCTCTTTTTYCCCCCCACATTTTTTTGGTGGGGGATGGGGTGGTGGTGCTAGGGATTGAACCCAGGACCTTGTGCATGTGAGCAAGCATTCTACCAACTGAGCTATATCCCCAGCCCTTCCCCCACAATTTTWATTGGTGTATTATAGTTATACATAATGGTGTTCACTGTTCGTTATGCACACTATATAAAAAAGTATAATTTGGCCAACATTCCCCACCAGCACCCTTCCTGGTTTGTTTTGTTCTTGTACTAGGGAGTGAATCCAAAGGCACTGAGTCACATCCCTAACCCTTTGTATTTTTTAAATATATATATATATATATATATATATATATATATTTATATTAGTTATACACGCACACAATATCTTTATTTTGTTTGTTTATTCTTATGTGGTGCTGAGGATGGAACCCAGGGTCTCACACATGCGAGGCGAGTGCTCTACCACTGAACCACAACCCCAGCCCTATTTATTTATTGAGACAGGATCTCACCAAGTTTTTTAGGGCCTCACTAAATTGCTGAGTATCATCTTGAACTTGAGATCCTCTTCCTCAGCTTCTGTGAGTCACTGGGATTACAGGCATGCAACACAACATCCAGCAGCATCTGGATATTTGCAATGACATAAGGACATATGCACTGACATTCAGAGTCCACACAGGTAATTCAGAATAATAGCATTTCAAAATCATTAATTTAATTACTTATGAAAAGCCCCTTTTTCTGGGTTCCAGGGATTGTAATGTGGTTGTCTTCAAGGTTTCATTTAATTTAATTACTTATGAAAAGCCCCTTTTTCTGGGTTCCAGGGATTGTAATGTGGTTGTCTTCAAGGTTTCATTTATCAACTTACCACATTTGACAAACATAACTATATATAACATACCAATGAATACAACCAGTTCTCCACAGACAATACTAAAATMTTTATCCTGTATGTGATTAGTTTCCTTAATTTGTTTTTACACTGTGAAATAAATATCAGAAAATATAATCACTTCTAAATTACTTAGATTATCCCATTTTCCTAGGGAGCATTTTTCTTCATTAGAGATATGCTTCTCTAATTACTAATAAACAAAGAAAACTAAAAAGTTTCTATTTTTTATTTTTGGCAATACTGAGGATTGAATCCAGGAGTGCTTCTACCACTAAGCTATATCCCCAGTCTTGGCTTTGTTTTTCTAGACAGATATCACAAAATTGGCCTTGAATTTGGCAATCTTCCTGCCTCAGCCTTCCAAATAGCTAGCTGGGATTACAGGTATATGCCATGGGCCAGCAGTTTCTATGTCTTGAATAAGCAAATTTTTCCTTAGTTAAAACATTGCTTGCTTACAGAACACAGGTGTTAGATTTTAGAAATGAACTCAAGACTAGGCAAATCAGGGAGCTATAAAAAATTCTGAGTAAGCAATCCAACTGCTATCATAACATTGCCTGCAGTGACTATCACCTCATAAATACCACTTTCAGCATTTTAATCTAAAACTACAGCTGTAAGACAGACACTAATTTCTGTAAACTTCTAAAAACACAAATAGTTATTTCCTTATTAAAAAAGCGCCATTGTACTGAACATCTGGAATACTCATCTAAATTAGTTTTGGCAAGCTAATAGCTTCTTTATTTAAAAAGGTAATATAATCAATTCCTAATTGGATTATATATCTTTCCCACACTGTGGAATACAGTACCAGGAACACAGAACAGGAACCATTTAAAGGYGATTTTACAAATCTTCATTATTCAGTTTTAATTAAGTTTTTGAATATTAGTAATAAATTTAATGTTTTCTAGATTATAAAGTTATTGTTACAAGAAAAATAAATGCTTTAAGATTTTTAAGGCTTAGCTTAAAATGCAGACCTAGATTACTTAGTGTGATCTGTGTCCTTTTAACATATTTCTCCTAACACCATTTTATCTCTTCCAATGAGGTACCCTTTCACACACATATAGGTACTTTTGTAGTAGTCCAAATTTAGTCTTCCTTTAAGGTTTCAGAACATACCTATTAAGGTCTAATACTGGTCAACACAGTTATATTAGCAGGAGTCTTATTTTCCTTCTGTCCCTTTGCCTATCCATATTGGAAGCTAACAGACTTACAATAAACAACAGTTGAGGAGCTGAAGAAGCATTTACTGAGGACTTTCATTGTGATAGAAAATGAAAACCTCCAAGAGCTTACTGGCTTAAGGGAAAGGACAGTCCCTGAACATACACGTTTTCAATACAATTTAATAAATGTTACAAGAGCAACAAAAAAGTCAACTGGGGGAGCAGAAATTAAAACAGGTTTCCTAGAGAAAGGGACTCCTCTCTTGGAGAAGCAACTGAAAGGTTAATCAAGTGAGGAAAGAAAAGCTGCCCAGAAGGACGAATATAACAAGTAATAAGCAAAGGCAGAACTCAGCATGGTGTGTTCAGGAAACTCCAATCAGTTTACTATGAAATGAGTCAAATGAGGGCGTTAGGGAGTAGCTTGGGGTAAGGCTGAATAACTGAACTGTGGATTACATCAGGGAGACCTAATATGCCATAGAAATGTGTCAGGAAAGATCCACAGTACAACAAGGTCAGATTTGCATTTAGACAGAGCAGTCACCTCTGGCCAGAGTGGAGAATAGATTATAACTGTTAATAATGATGCCAGAARCAGTGGCACATGCCTATAATCCCAGCAATCTGGGAGGGTGAGGCAGGAGGACCACAAGTTTAAGGACAGCCTCAGCAATCGAGAAAGACCTTGTCTCAAAATAAAATGGGCTGGAGATGTGGCTCAGTGGTAAAGTTCCCCTGGGTTAAATCCCGAGTTAAAAAAAAAAAAAAAAAAAAAAACTATTAATAGGATGAATTAGGAAGGCAGGGCTCAAAAATACTTACTTGTATTTTGATACAAGGAATATAGAAAATAAGAAAGAAGTGCTCCCAAACTTGTGGCTGCAGAGATGTTGATGACAGGAAATAAGACAGTAAAACAAGAAATGGTATTTTTACTACATACATACATATTAGTTAATGTTCTAATCAGAATG